AAGATTTCAGCACTAGAAAACATCTCAGAGGTGGAAGTTTGGAGATCGAGCAATCAAAGTAAGGGAAAAAATTTATTTTTTAAATTGCTTGTATTATTTTGAGATGTTTTCTTCAAGATCTAGTCGAAGTGGTGATCCGGGTTGGAAATATAGATATAACCCGAATCTTTTGTATAAAAATTATACAAGATGCAATTATTGTGAAAAGGATACAAAAGAGGGTATAAACCGATTTAAGAAAACATCTTGCCGGTATTAGGGGGAATGTTGCCCCTTGTAAAATGTTTGAACCTATCAGAGAGGAGATTAACCAATATATGGGTTCAATAAAACACAAACAAGAACAAAATCCTTATTATTTCGATAGGTCTATCTTTTATTTTGCAAGAAGAGGTGATCCAAGTTGAAAATATGGTTATAACCCGAAACCAAACGATAAAAATTATTAGGTGTAACTTTTATGAAAAAGACACCCATAGGGGTATTAATCGAATCAAGAAACACCTTGCTGGCATTAAAGAGAATGTTTTTATTTTTTTATTTTTTGAATATGAGTATTAAAGAGAATGTTCCTTCTTGTAAAAAAGTTCCTAAAACTATTTGGAATGAGATTAGACAATATTTGAATTTAGTAGAACCAGAAAAGGAAGAAAATGAGCCTTGTTTTATAGAAATATCTTCTCCAGGTTCTTCTAGAAATAGTGATCCGGGTTGAAAGCATGGTCATAACCCAATCCAAATGACAAAAATTATATTATGTGTAATTATTATGGAAATGATACTAATGGGGGTATTTACCGGTTCAAGAAACACCTTGCCGGCATTAAGAGGATGTTGCCCCGTGTAAAAATGTTCTTGAGGCTACTAGGGAGGAGATTATACAATATTTGAGTTCAGGGAAGCACAAAAAGAAAGAAAAGGGTAAAGAGGCACTAGGTAGAGCAGCCAAGACTCCTAGGGCCTCAACTGCACAGAGTAAGAGGGAGGTACAAGAAGAGGAAAAAGAGGAAAATTCTGAAGAAACAGAGAAGGACAAGCGTTATGTTAAAAAGGGAGATGACTCTGATGATGATGGCCTCGAATCTGATGCAGGCATACCCTACTCCTTCTGATGATGATGATGATTGAAGAATGAAAATGCTTGCCTCTTCGTGTTGACTATTGAGTCTTAGATTGTATACTAAATTTTAAGTTTCTAGTTTCTACTATCTAACTCTTGTGTGTATGCTTGTATAGTTCTAGCATTGTATAAAAATATGGATTATGGACTATCTAAATTCTCCTCATTCATGCAAATATAGATTATGGATTATGTGCCATATAGTTATCCTGCTAGAGTTAGACACTTAGACTACAAACATTTTTCTTTCTAATGGGCAGCCAAGGTTCTGAGCGCCCGCCTAAGCACTGGGCGGCCTGGCCCCCCAGTCGCTTAGGTGACGCCTAGCATTTTTTGAAACACTGGCCAAAACTGTCAAGAGACAAGTCCATGGAAAAGGGATCATGCCAATCTTAACCATTTCAGACCATGTCACGTGTCTTATAAGCGAAATGGTTTGCGGACCACAGGCAAGAGGCAAGTCATTATTTTATTTTATTTTTAATGTGTTAACTTGTATTAAATGGTATGCATATACAAAAAATGACCCCTTTAGACGGGGCAAGAGACCCATTTAGAATGAGCTATACACTGTAAGTATAAAGAGCCAAAACTTCATGCACTCAAAATGGCTCTGAGGGTATAAAAAGGTGAAGGGACAGGCTCTGAGTCTTGCTCCTTCTCTGGCTAGCGCATTTGCGACTGCGTTCACCTTGCACCAAACATGCTTTCAAGAAACTCGATAGCCCCAACATCTGTGCTCTATCTCATCAAAAAGATGAGCAAGTTTTCATGGGCAAGGGGCCTCACCCGAACCGTAAGTGATCACATTTGAGGAGTCTCCCTCGGCCAGTAACAACGTGCCCCGACTAGGGTCTAGATTTCTAAGGCCCTTGAGGAGGGCAATAGGATTGGTTGTAGTGGAGACGGTCACCCCAATGGACTTGGAGAAGGTAAAGAGCGTAGAGCCAGTGGTCAAGAATGGTGGCCCCAATACCCATTGGTCCGGGGTTGCCCAACGAGCAACCATCGAAGTTAAGTTTGATTTGGCTAGGGCCATAGCAAAGGCTGAGAGATTTGAGTGGGTCTGAGGCACAGTAAATGCTCCCAATTCTTGATGAAGTTGGAGTGGGAGTAGTGTTTGAAGACCAGGTTATTCAAGGCTTAGAATCTCACGAGTTCCTTCACCCGAGACTTTAATGTGACAATTGGAGCGAGTTCTCCTCGAAAGGTCCCCCTATTGTGCCCGGTCCAGATGACCCAGAGTGTGGCTGCAACAAAGGCACGCCACAATAGGATCCCTCATATGGCCCACAGCAAAGGAGAAAAGGAGGAGAATAGGTGGGCGACATCTCTTGGGGTAACCAATTCCGATGGAAAAGCTGTAGGAGAATGCCCCAGAGTTCTGTTACTGTCTCACAATGGATAAAGAGATGTGCATTGGTCTCTTCAGGGCGAAGCATCGTACATCTATTTGGAAGGGGAACACCTACCTCTTCTCTATATCTGGTCTATAGTTAAGGCTTAATGAGGTAAGCTGTTGATGGGGGTAAGACCGACTTACTGTGGACAACTGATTTGAAATTTGGGATGGTGTAGTCAACACATAGGGAGAGGCCCGTGATAGCATGGCTAGAGTGGGTGTCACGTGGGAGAAGGCCTCGAATGGCCCACTTGGAAGGGATAGGAGGGCGCTAAGGGCGTCATGCAAGCGTGAGAGAGAGGCCAAGTTGCTGATGTGTGGCAGTGCGCATGGGAACCAAGGCCCCATTGATCCACTGAGGAAGACATGGAAGGATATGGAACGGGAGAGGGCCGAAAAGGTCGAATCCCAAGGGCTGTTGTGGAGAGATCATGGGTGTAGGATTTGGTGCGATGGGGGTGGGGGCAGATCTGCCCTTTGGGAGGGGGGAATCTACAACCGTGATTTGCCTAGGGACAGCGTCACATGTGACTGCGGTACAATCATTCAAGTTGGTGGGAGGACGTGGCAGGGATCCTTGCTCTTATTTTCCAACAAGGTTATGGATTGGCCTGGGAAGTGACGAAGAGAGGGAGGGCAAGATGCTACCAAGGCCAAGGACAAGAACTCCAAGCTCCAAGCTTTTCCAATGAACAAATATGAAGCCTCGGACTCTAACCAGATTGATGAGGGGATACGATTGGGGTCCACCGTTTCCAAGAGGAGTTGGATAGTGCCCAAGGGCAAGAACTCCAAGCTTTTCCAACAAAGAGATATGAAGCTTCCACAGGCTTCGCCAATCTGTTTAAAGGTTTCAGCGTGCAAAACATGGAGAGGGATATGGAATGCTCTGAGCCACAATTTCTGTTTGACTAAGGCCTTTGCTCCACCTAGAGAGAGAAAGAGAAGCATCGTTGAAAATGGGTTTTGCCCAATGAAATGCTCCAAGGGCAAAGTCAAGAGTTGGGAAGGAGAAGAGGATTGAACCATTAGAGACGAGGCGGTAGATAAGATTGGGTTCAATCCAAAGCTTATGACCCCACCTTTCTATACGCCTGCTATCATTGCAAGGAGACTTCGAGAGCTGAATGGTGGGGGTTGTTAAGATGGATGATAATGATGCCATCGACAAGCAGGGGTGGCAAGCGGCAGACGAATAGGAGGTGAGAGGGACCTAAAGAGGGTGATAGGCTTGAGCCTGGGCAGAGGAAACCAGAATATGGGATGGGAGATGCTGAGATAGGTCCAAAGATAGGCAGGGGGTAGGGGGGGGATGAATTACGCCATGGTGGGGAGCAAGCTGAGGGGGAGCAGAGGCAGAGGAAACGTTGGGAGGGAGGGGGTGGAAGGCTGGGGTCGATGAAGATGGATGTAATTCTCGTAGAGCGGAGGGAGTGAGGAGGGCCTGAGGCGACCCTCAAACAAAGCCATTCGTCTTCAAGACACAAGTCATTCAAAGGTGTAATCTACTCATCCATGAGATTGGCTATGTAAGGGTTTCGATTGCTTTGGAAACAATGTTTAAAACCCAACTAAAAGATATATTGAAACCCTTCTAAGGCTTGTGAACCAAATTCTTAAAAAAAAATTGGAAATGGGAAAATAATCTTGTCAAATGCTTCATGATTGTCAAGTGGGACCTGAAGTCTCGAGTGTAAATTCTAGGGATTACTTAGACTCAAATCATGAAATCAGAATTGGTGAGGTATCTCTCTTGCTCTCCCGTGAGTCACCCGCACCAACTTGACCGGTTTTAAATACAATGAAAAATAGCTGATAGACTTTAAAATTTTAAGGAAATTAAGAAAAATGACTAGCTGAATTTTTATTTTATTCAAAAGATTAGCAGGATAGATAAGTCAACTATGGTGAGTCTTGGAAGTCTCATGCCAAGGTTTCCTAAAGTGATTTCATTGATAATTTTCAGGTGATCTCTACTTCGGGATTTGACTAACTTAAGCCTTAAAGCTCCCCTGGAATTTAAGCCTTAAAGCTTCACCACTGGCTGATACAGGAAAAAGGATTTGGCTGATCAATGACGACTCAGCTTGTTTGAATTTTCAATATATGAAATTTTAGCTAAACAAACCTTGAGCAATATTCCTCAGTCTAGAACACCTTGAGCATAGAACTCACAAGCACGTCTCTCTAATTGCAGAGAGTTTTGAAAGCAATATTCTAATCAAATCTATGTCCCCAACCATGTCATGCATCAAATCCAATTCACTCTTTTAATCCCTGGTTTCAAAATGAGTTCTATGCATACACATGCACCAGATGGATGGATGAGACTCCAAGCTTATTGCAAATGTGTGAGATAAGGAAAAGTTTTCAACAAAATTTCCAGATGCATTATGAAAGCGACATGAATCAGCAACATCAGTATATTTTAGAGGGAAATAGAAGTGAGAAAATAGATACGCAGAGAAAAGCAGTCACCTGCAAGGGCATTCGAAAGTTGAGGATGTGTAGGTGCCCCTTAAACTCAGTAATTGTATACAAAGGGACGGATCCCCTTGCCAAATCCTCAATAAGATAGAAAGCATCCTCAAGCACCTGAATCCCATTAAGATGCAGAGTCGCATTCACATATGAACTGCCCCGTGCCTTCAGCTCGCCACCCTCCGACCTCACAAACCCAAGCTTGCGACCCCTATAACCAATCCAAACAACCACCCTCTCATAATCCAAGGAGAAAAAATCCCTGTTTCTAACCCTAAGTGTGAGATCCATCGATATATCCATCAATACAGAAGGAAAAATGGAGGATTGATCAGTGGAGAAGTGGACATGGTTAAGAGAGGCTCGAGCAACCCTGATTTGGGGTTTAGAGGGCCAGAGAAAGAAGAACAGCAAGGCAAAGAGGAGCACGAGGGAGGCGCAGGCCCAGGCATTAGAGCAGTAGCGGCGTGCGCGCGTGTAGCGAGGCGGTGCGGGGAGGAGGAGGACATAGTGGGGGTGAGGCTCCTGCTGTTGGTGGTGGTGGTGGTGCAGGGGAGGAGGGTACCACAAGGGCGAGGACGCTCCTTCTTTCTGGTCCGCACCAGCCATGATGGGGTGGACACGGAGCAAACAAGAGAGCCATCACCCCACCCTTTACTTCCTGATATAAGGATTTGGTTAGCCGTGGAATATGGAATGGTGGAAATTTTATCCCGATCACGCCCCACTTTTTGATGTAAGGGTTTGGCTGGGGTGGATTATTCAAACGTCGAAATTTATCTAAATGGAGATGTGTTTTAACCGGTGTTTTAAAAAACGCCTCGACTCGAAAATCGTAAAAAGTGGATCGTATCGGTTAAAAAATCGAAAATTGTCCGGTTCTAGAGAGAATCGGACGATTCTGTACAGTGAATCGTCGATTCACTGTACGGAATCGGCGAGTCCGAACAGTAAATCGGCGAGTCCCGTACGGAATTTTTTTTTTTTTTTGG